GTACTACCAAGTCGCCAGTTCTCATCTTCCAGCTCCCCAGATACTCCGCCTACTAAAGTTGTACTACAAAGTCGCCAGTTCTCATCTTCCAGCTCCCCACATACTCTGCGAACTAAAGTTGTACTACCAAGTCACCAGTTCTCATCTTCCAGCTCCCCAGGTACTCCGCGTACTATAATTATCTATAATTGCACTACAAAGTCGCCAGTTCTCATCTTCCAGCTCCCCAGATACTCCGCGTACTAAAGTTCTACTACCATGTCGCCAGTTCTCATCTTCCAGCTCGCCAGATACTCCGCGTACTACAGTTGCACTACAAAGTCGCCAGTTCTCATCTTCCAGCTCCCCAGATACTCCGCGTACTAAAGTTGTACTACCAAGTCACCAGTTCTCAAATTCCAGCCCCCCAGCTACTCCGCGTACTAAAGTTGTACTACAAAGTCGCCAGTTCTCATCTTCCAGCTCCCCAGATACTCCACGCACTAAAGTTGTACTACAAAGTCGCCAGTTCTCATCTTCCAGCTCCCCAGATACTCCGCGTAATAAAGTTGTACTACAAAGGCACGATCTCCGCAGAGGGTTGCCCGTGTCCAGGATGAATTGCGCTCTCGCCTACATTTCGCGCACTCGACACGCACGATCTCCGCAAAGGGTTGCGCGCACACCGGACAGATCGCACTCTCGCCTGCATTTCGCGCACTCGACACGCACGATCTCCGCAGAGGGTTGCGCGGGTATGTGGCAAATCGCACTCTCGCCTGCATTTCGCGTGCTCTCGACACGCACGATCTCCGCAGAAGGTTGCGCGCGCACCGGACAAATCGCACTCTCGCCTGCGTTTCGCGCACAAGACACGCACGATCTCCGCAGAGGGTTGCGCGGGCATGTGCAAATCGCACTCTCGCCTCCATTTCGCGTACTACTCGACACGCACGATCTCCGCAGAGGGTTGCGCGGGCACCGGTCAAATCGCACTCTCGCCTGCATTTCGCGCACTCGACGCGCACGATCTCCGCAAAGGGTTGCGCGGGCATGGGACAAATCGCACT